CCACCCCCAGCCAGTCAGTAATGCTTTAACAGGAAGATGAATTTGTTTTTAGGAATGAGCTTTATGAGCTGAGAATGTAGCTCAATGGTAGACCAATTGCTTAATATGCATGAGGCCCTGGTTCAATCCCCAGTGTTGCACCTCTCCCCCAAAAGTACTTTTGGTGGAAATGCTTAGCATAGAGAGATAAGCTTGGAATGGAGAATAGAGCTAAATAAAGCTCTGAGCCCTAGGGGAAGCTGCTCATCTAGGTGATAGGGGTAGGGGTGGAGAAGGAAGGGAATCAACCAAGGAGACAAAGATATTCAGAGGGTTATACCCACAATGGTAAAGGAGAGTTTCCAAATGAGGTGGTTAACACTATCAAATGTAGAACTGAAGGAGAATGGATTAGTGATGGAGAAAGTAAGTGAAAAAAAAATCGTTATTTTGGTGTTAAAAACTTGATGTTTTGAAGTCCTTGGACACTTGGGAGTTTTGTGATTAAGTCTTCTACAATTCCCAACTTTTCAGAAAACAAATACATTCTGTTCCACTGAGGAAGGGTCTCTTATAAGCAAGTTTTATTTGGACTCAAATATGATTATTCGTTTGATAATGGAGAAAAATATGGTGGAATGCATAGACTAAGTAGCTATAACAACAACAAAAAAATAGTTAATAAAACAAGTTACTCTAACAGAAAGTTGGAAGTGAGTGGTCCAAGGCCTGTAGGTCCCAAGATATTTAGGGACATTGGCTCCTCTACCTTTCATTGCTCTATTATCTCTTACAGTGTGGGCTTCCCATGATCAAAACTGACCAACTAGGTTTGATTATGTTTTCCAGCAGTTCATGAGAAGTAGAAAGGAGTAGAGGGTATAAGGCTTCATCTTGAAGGAGATTAGCTAGAAGTTAAATTCATCAATTTTTCTTTCATCTCATTGGCCTAAATATATTCAGATAATCACATTAGATTCTAATGTGGTTGAGAAATAAAATCCAAAGCTATGCTAGTACTCAGGGGAAACAAAATGGAAGTAGAGAATAGCAGCAGTTTCTAGTACATAGGATCTGAAACAGGTCCTTTTCCATAAAATAACTTTTTGGTAGGATTTAACTGAATTTTAATAGAAAATAAAAGTGTTACATAGCAATAAAGTCCAAGTATTCTTAGGTTTTCTATTTTTGTAAAAGATTTTGCAAATTAAATATTTTTTCAAAATTTCACTTACAAGCTCATTTGACTTTTGGGTAAAATATCTTACCTTCTTTTGTTTGGAATTCAGACAGCTGGTAAAAACACAAATGATATTAAAATAGCAATTATTTTTGTGAATTATTGAAATGCATTCATTCTGTCTCTACTTAGCAATGACCAACAAGGAATATTATATTACTTATCTATGGCTGTGTGACAAATTACTCCAAAACTTAGAAGCATAAAACATTTTTTACTGGGCTGGGGGTATAGCTCAGTTGTACCACATTTGGCTAATATGTGATCTCTAGCACCCCAAAGAAAACTGAAAAAAAAATTATCTCACATAGTTTCTGAGGTCTTAAAAATTTCAGAGCTTAGCTGGATGGTTTCCCATGAGTCAAGGTTTTGGCTAGGGCTATAGCTGTGTGAAAGCTTGACTGGACTGGAGGATTCACCTAAAAGCAGAAGCACAGATCTGTGGAAGGAGGCTGTAGTTCTTTACCTAAGGAAACCTCTCCGCAATAGGCAGCTTGTACCAGACTGAGTGATCCCTGGGAGATGGGGTATAAACTACAACCCAAATGCCAAAGGTGTCTGTGGTAATCTAATCTCAGAAGTGACATAGCATCACTTTTGGTCACTCAGACTAACCTTGGCAGAAGGTGGGAGCCATTATACAAAAGTGTGAGTACCAGTATGTTTGAATCATGGGGTCATTTTAGAGGCTGCCTACCACTGTACCTATAGCCTTATATTGCAGAAAAAAAAAATCCCCAAACCTCCATATAAGCTAAACGTCTCATTTTTAAAAATAAAACCATTTAAAAAATTTCCTGGGCTGGAGATATAGCTAATGATTGAGAGCATATTTAGCATGTGCAAGGCCCTGGGGTCAAACCCCAGCACTAAAAAAGAAAAGAAGATCGCTAATTCCATCGACTTCAATCATTAACCCAAAAATTTGCCAGAGTAAACAACTAACTTGACATGTTATTGTGCACAAGGAAAACAAAGTTGGTTGATACATTTCCACAAGCTTAATTTTAGTAATTTCAGGAGGGCCTCCGAAGCATTGACCCTTTCAGGTTGTATCTGATGAGAATGATCATTGTTTAAGGAGGTCCTCACTTTGGCTGGACACAGATGGCGCCCTCAGAATGAACACTGTCAACCTGCTGTGGTTTGGGTTCTTTTATTTTTATTTTTTTGGTACCGGGGACCTTGGGCTTGTGAGGCAGGTGATGGAACCACTGAGCTAAATCCCCAGCCCTGTGGTTTGGGTTCTTGAAGCATTTTAGAAGTTAATGTTAGCAACTTGAGATCCTTTGAAAATAAGTGAGTTTCTGTAAGTTTGGGTCCAGTTTAAAGACATGGGATCCTCTAAAGTTGCCTGAACAGTGAGCTATATTTGGGGAGTTGGCATACAGAGGGTCTGTCTTGGATTAGGTCTCAAAATACCTAAAAGATTTCCTTATGCAGGCTGGGATCAGATATGACAGGTGCATCCTTCTAATTTTGGAACTAGAAGCTGCTACTATAGAGTAAGGCTGCTTTGTATTCATTCAGCAGCAGTGAAGATCAGTAATTTTGCCACCATGGTAGAAAAGAAAAGATCAGAAATGTGCTATTCTATTCTGATAAACCACATTTTTATAACAGTTTCAATGAATTTTTATAGAGGACTTTATGTTCTTGGTGATTAATAATTTATTTAAAAATACATTGAAGGGTAGGGATTTAGCTCAGTGGTCCCAGTGCCTGCCTCGAAAGTGCAAGGTCCCGAGTTCGATCCCTGGTACCCAAAAAGAAAAACAAAACAAAACATTGAAAGTAGGCCCTAATACTTAGCTCTATACTAGAATACTAAGGTTAATGATCATGTCCATAATTATTTTGATCATGCTTTTGTCAGTGAGTTAAATATTTATGATGGAAATTAAAGATGTTGTAGAATAAGAGGTGCATATGTATTTCAGAGAGATTCTGGGGCTTTAGAAAGATGGTGATATTACTTCATTTAAAAATATGTAAGTATGTTTAAATGAATATGCTTGAAAAACTATCACCCACTAATAAAATTGATGTCCATATCATGCAAAAATTGGTCAAAGCTTATCTGAATAATATTCTAAAAAATAATGCAATGTAATCTTGAACATTTCAGTTATAAAACAAGGCTGATGAATTTTGCAATGTAAAGATCCTGGAAATAACAAGTTTTTTTTATATCTGGAAGATATTGAGCAATGCACACTTAACATGCTAATACTGTACACAGATTTCTTATACATGCACACTGAATTTGAGACCAAATTCAGAAATTCTTGTTTTAGGAATATTAAAATAAATGTTAGGAAAGGCATACCAGAAAGTTGATTGTTTATAAGATTGATGTTTACAACCTACTGACTTTATTACAATGTAGTGGTGGGAACCGAACCCAGGACTTCATGCATGTTAGGCAAGCACTCTATCACTGAACTACATCTCCAGCTGTACATTCAATTTTTTTGTAGGTCAAAAGATAAGCCATGTTGTAAGTAGTGGCAATGTTCCACAATTTTTTTTTTAAGCAGAATGAAAAGTATATTCAAAAAAGAAAATTATCCACAGGTTTTACCTGACACTTGATTTTTCTCAAAAGTGTTTTCCTCTCTACAAGATGTAAAAAAAATTAATATCGGACAAGGAAATTTTTCATTGGAGATAGAATATTTAAACACAAATCAAATTTAGATGCTTCATAGAAAGTGAAAATATGACTAATTGCTTGCACTGAAAATACAGTACAGAAAACAGTGTCTAACAGAGTTTTCATTAATTTATGTTGGATTCTTACCATCTGGCCTGCCTTGCCCCCATTCGAAAGAATTTGACTACGCCTAAACCCATGGCAAACGTCCACTTTTCTCTCTCTCCTCTACCATGGCCTCAAAAGTGGAGTAGTGTTTCTGATTAATCATGTATTTAAATAAGGACACCAGATGCTGTAGTATTTTAGCAAATTAAAATTCCAGTGTCCCAGAACATGTCGGGTGATTGCCACATTCTAAAGTCTAAAATTTGACTTGGCCATTTTCCTATCATGCAACTCGGGAAGGTAGGAAGTTGAGCCTGAACCTTAGGCCCTTTGAACCACATGGCAGGGGCAGCACTTCATTCAACAATTACAGGATGATTTTTTTTTTTTTTTAAAGAAGGGAGGAAAAATTCTAATTTCTCCAACAGAGGCATCTCTTTACAGGGGGATAAGCAGCCACAGTGACAGGGTGAAAAAGTCGTCGGCAGCGGAGTCATCTCGCCGCTGTGCCGTTCCGCATCCCTCACTTCTGATGGGAATGGGCGGCAGCCTATGGGTGATTCGGTTGATTTACGATGAGCGTGTGTCGTCTGCACCGTGCCCCTTTCACGAGTCTCGGCCAATTAGCTTTATTTTCTGCGTGAGCCGTTAAAGCCACCCCGGTTGGGAACGCCCCGCGAGTAGGCCGGGGGGGGGGGCGAGCGGTGCCGACAGGTGCGCCCCCTGGGAAATACACAAAGGGCCGGCGTGGCGACCGCCGCGGTGCCCTTGGCAACTCTACGCACGCGGCCCCGCGGCGCACGGAGGGCGGAGCGGCGCGCAGGTAGCCGGCGTCAGCTGGCGGAGCCCTTGGCCTGCTCTCGGACACGCGCCCGGGAATCGCTAAACCGACTCCCGGTGGCTATAGGGACTGGTAGTCCGCGCGAATTCCGGGCTCCTCCCCCGCGCTGGCCGGCCGGGGCGTCTCCACCCGTCGCACATCGACTTCCTGTCGTTGCCAAACTACATCTCCCGCCGTCCTCGCTGCGCTCGGGCCGAAAGCGAAAACAAATTCTGCGCTGCGAGGCTGCTGTCCTCCGCCGGGCGCCCCCACCCAGCCACCCAGCCACCCATCCACTCCGAGCTCCCCGCCCCTCGGGCGCCTCCGGCGAGGTGGGGAAAGGAAAAGCCGCGGCTTTCTTTTTTTGGTTTCCTGGGCTCCCGGCGTGGGCAGTGCGCGGGGGACGCAGGCCTCGCTTCGCGGGAGCCAGCCGGCGCCCATCTCCCGTCGGGACCGGGAAACTTGTGGGGGCGGCGACCCCGGAGCCGGTGCCCTCGCGGGCAGCGCGGCCGTCGGGAAGTGACTTCGCACTCTCGGGGGCGGCCTCGACTCCCTCCGCGTGCCCGAGGCGCGTGGGCCTGCGGGAGGCGGCCGCGTGCGGATAGCTATGCAGTAGGCAGTGCCCCCTATGCGCGCTGAGAGCGCAGGCCGCCGCCGCAGGC